GCGAGGTGTCCACCGTCGTGCAAACATTTTAAGTAGGCACAAATATCTAGCTGGTGAAAAAAAGACAAGGGAGGTTGTTGAACCCGGGAAAGGGGAGCCGGTCGCGCGTACGGTCAGCTGGTCTCCGACTACATGCACACACATCGCGAAGATCGATGGTTTTCGACGACCCAATTTCCTAGCACACGCGGGGGAGAGAGACAACCGTCGACAAGGAATAGGAAGGGGAAGAGATAAACCTATTGCACTTTCAAATCACGCTCTCGCGTTACACTCATCTACATGGACGACGGGCTCGCTAATTTGCCTCACGCTTTTCTATGTATGCTGCAGCTTGCGTTTCGTCACAAGTACGTCGATGCCAATTACGCCGAGCGAATTATATATCGATTGTCTTGTTATGAAAAACAATATAAACATGAACAAAATTGTTCTACGGAGAATACTTAAATATATATATGTACACATATATTGGTAATTTTAAATATATTTTTTTTAAACTAATAAATGAATATGAATATATTTTTTTTGTTTTAGATTTTTATAATATTTATTGATTTGATAAGTTTATTGATTTAACGTGGCTTATCAAAAAATATATTTGTATTAACATATACCCAGAGCGTGAAAATCAAAGCAGCTCACTCTTAGCGTCATATACTTTTCAGTACATGTATATTCCAGTCATAATATAATAAACGCTGTAAGATTCGTAATTCGCCAGGGAATGAGTCAAGACTATTTTCTTGAATGGAGGTAATAGCCATGTGAGATGAACGATAAGCGCCAAGCGCCAAGAGCTAATCCGCTAGTTGCAAACTAGTAGTACACTTACTATTCACGGCTGAATGACCGGTACCGGTCGCGCACTACGGAGATGGTGAAACTAAGATTGTTTCGCTTCAACAAAGACGGGGGAGGTCGATCTAACCGATACTATATAAAAATAGGTTATCAGAACGCAGCTCTTCTTGGACCGATTATGCTCGATTCTTTGTCTTTTCCTTCTTCTTAGTCTTCCAAAATCTAACTTTCAAAAAGTGAAATTTTTCACTCATAAACTAATGTAGAATAGAACAGAAAATGACAGAAAATGCTTTGTCAAGCTGCGTCATAAGTTTCATGATGTCAAATAGCGCATTGTGAATATTAAAAAAAAAGCAAACAAAAATAAATACAAAATAAAATAAACATAATGTTCAAGTTAAATACACAAAGGAAGATAGAAAAAAGAAAGAAATTAATAACGTTAAAAGTTTATGTTCAAAGAATCATGCAGCAACATTAAGAATTCGACTTATTTTAACGTTTATTATTTTCTTAAGTTCCGACAAAAAGTCAATTCTATCGCGCGTCAAATATGTGCGGGAGATGAGAATATAGCACAATTGCCGCGTTTTGCGACTTTTCATCTTCCGCGCGCGGCTCTCGTGGAAAAATCCGTTTCATCGAACCCAAAGTAGTCGTCCTTAAGTGGACAGAAAAATAATTTCATTACTCTCCGGGAGAGCCTGCACCGCGTTGCAGGTACGGATGTAGTCGTCTTTTAAAAGACTATTGTATTTAACACAGTCGAAATCTATGATTATTGACATTTTTAAATGAATTTCTGGACTTTCAACGCAAGAGAATACTTACACTATGATCCGTGTATCGCGCGACAATATATGCGAAAGAGATGATAAAAGATCGTCGTACGTGTCTTTGGTCACGTACGATCGATCAACGTGGCGATTGCAGCCCTGTGCCCTCGAGAATACCCCAGGGTTGGTACTCTCGCTTTTGCATTCTGCATTCAGTGCATTCCCCTTGCGTTCAATGCACGCAGCAAACGATATCTAGATGGTTTCTTAATGTTCGTCGGCGTCACTACCTTAGAAAGAGAAGAATCCGATGTACGCTTATACGGTAGGTGGTGCTTCAGAACAGTCGAGAAACCGATAAGAGACCGACAAGTTGGATGGAAGGTGGACCGTAAATAACGGTCTATAGTTCTCGAGAGGGAAAGTGTCCACCTCCTTGAAAAGTTATTTTTAACATTATATTTATTCGTTCTACAACCCTTGAAACGCTCAATAGCGTTTCAGGATTTTTAGATATGGTTATATTCTAGTCATTAAAAAACCAATTCTATGGAATGTTAAGGCAATGTTACAGTAAGTGAAAACAATCAGTTAACGACTTTATATTTTCTACATGTGAGAAGAAGTAAGTGTAAGAAACGGTTGTGTTAATAATTGTACAAAAATTAATTTAAGAGAAATATGAAAGATAATGAATGAATGTAGCTTTATTTAAAGAGAGAGAGGGAGGAAAAGTATAAGACAAACAATGAAACTTTACGACTTACAATCTAACATTACATTCTAAACTTTATAAACAGCCGGTTCGGGGATGAAACGTGCGTACGTAAGAGCAAAATACTCAAAGTAGTTTAATAACCCAACAGAATGGCTTGACGATCTCTTACTGCGGCCAATACCAATACTAGAATGCATCGATCACCGTGATTAATTCTATTACTTCGCAATTTAACCTGTGATCGGAGGTGGTGGTCGGAATTTCGAAACGATCGGTTCTCTCCCTACCAACCCGCCTTTTCCCCATTTCGCCTTGCACGCATTACTCTCTTTCTTTTACTTGTCATCCCTCTCTGCGTCTCAGTACAACGACCGGGTTTAGGCGAGGTTATCAGCCGCATTAGATGAGACGACGAACTCTCACGCTATATGTTCTTCCTCTTTTTATATCGAGTGTTTAAATATATATTATTTTCTCCAAGTTCCTAAATACTAAATCGCAAGAAGCATGATCATTTTTATTGCGTAATACATTTTATTGTGTATAAAATAAGAGCAATGTACACATCAAAAATATATAAGAGAGAGAATTGAAATATATATAAATTACAGAGGAAAACTGATTTTCAAAGTTGATCTTTTGCCGAATTTTCTTTGAAATTTAAATTCAAATTTGTGTTTTGATGAAAATCAAATTGCTTTTTACACGGTCGAAAGTACTCGCGTTACTTTTGTTCGACTGACATAACAAAAATTTATCAATTACAGATACCTTTCGAATGTCTTTCAAATGTCTCTCGCATGTATCTTCTGTTTCGATATATTCTGTATTATGCACAGTGTCGCACTGTATATACCTGACGCCTATCAACCAGATAATTCTAGCGTTCCTTTACCTGGACGATTCAGGACACTGGTAAGAGAATGAACCAGACACACGAGGCAGTTAGGCGCGAGCAGTATGCAGATTTAACGTCGCGAGTGACCTTTGTCGGTCGTTGCACGTCCCGTCAGATAGCTCGAGTGCACTTGTACTCTGTTCCGCAGTCGACAGTGCATATGAGAATCGATGCGCTGAGTAAAGAGGCTACTCGAAGAAAAAAAGGAGCATTCGCACAAAGCTCATTGCGGAGACTATCGATCTCTCAAATCAGCGACCATTTGCTTTATTTTACCAAGGTTCAAGCAGACGCCTATCGACACATTTGACCTTTATTTCCTTTTTTCTGATGCGATTATTTCACTTTGTTAACTAAACAGAAGGCATATGTGCCTCTAAAACTTTTAAAGCTCTTAAAGAAAACAAATAGTTACCATGCAATTGCTGATGACTTGCACAGCGCGAGCGTTAGCAATTATCAATGTGCCACACGTTTCTAAGTGCATGCTATTCATTCGTCGCAAACGAACTTAAAAGTGAGTTCAATTAGCAGCAATAACGTACACAATTGTGATCATGTTCTCTTCTTTTTCGTCACCTTCTCTCACGATTTTTCCGGCACTTTTTCTTCCCGCAATACAGTGTTTTATTTTATAACGAAGAAAAAGTGGCAGCGCTTATCTTACGCTTCTCGAGCTTACATCTTCAACAATAGCTTAGGCGCGAGATATAACAAATGCTCGACGTTGCGTGCGCTTGCAAACTCGTGATTTATTAGTGCGCGAGCACACACCGAAGACTTCAAGTGCAGTTATCATATCAAATTATCACTTGAATACATATCTCTCAAATAAAAACGCATATTTTATTACACAACGTTTTGAATAAAAAACTTTCGTAATCGGTAATTTTCTAGAATTTTACACTTACTCTACAATCACTATTAGAAAGAAAGAAAGAAGAACAAATATGTTAAATTGTAAATTTGCATATCAAGGAATATATTTTTTGTAATTTTTTTTTATTAATATAGATATAAAAATATAGATATAAATAAACTTTATAATTTAAAAAAAGTTGGAACTTCACATATATATAACTTTAACATTATCATCAAAGTATCGAAATGTTGATACTTACTTTATTATTTTCTCGTTCCGGTTACAAGCTTCGTCTTGTGCCTTTGCGAAAGTCGATTGGTTGCTTGCTCGTTCAAGCTGTTTCTCAATCGCGACCTCGAGAACAAGCGTGCGAGCCTCCCGTCAGCAAACGTAACCTGAAAAAAATAATTACATCGGCATCACAGCGATAGTCAACGATGAATACAAACTGGCGGCAACGCAATTGATATTTATGTTTCACGCGTTAAGAGAAAATTAGATTAGATTGTTTTTTTAAACAACACTCTTTTTTGTTTATTAAACCTATTTTCAGGATTTTTTTAACTGGCAAAAGCTCTGTTTATATTAAGTATACTTATAAATTATATATTTAATTTTCATTTTTATTTCATATATTTTTATTTTCAGTATATATGTATTTGTTTTAGGAGTTTTGTAGATATTATGAGTATACATTAGCAGTATACATTAATAATTTAATGTGATATAAAAATTTTTATTTGTACAACTACTACTTCAACTACTTTTTTTTTTTCTGGTTTATCTCGACCACGTAACAAATAAATTGAATTCGGCCGACAGAGGCGCGATCAAAGTATAAAAGTTGCACGTGATTGGTGAAGGCGAGCAATAGCTTGCACGTGAGCGAAGGTGACTGCATATACAGAATACTTGTAAGGTGAGTCGAGAAGGCCAGTCCGTGTGTGTAAGGGCAGCGGGTCGTTGATATACTCGTGTGTGCGGAGAGATTTAAGAAAATGTGTATATAATTTATTCTTTTGTGACCATAAGGCAACTTACAAAAAACTAGTTAATTACACAAAGTTTTTATTTACTCACAACAAATATTAAAATGTACGAACTCAAATATTTGGTCGTACTCGTATGTATATCCATTTTTTATATAACAAATAAATATTTTTTCTCTTCTTACTCAAATGTTATAATAGTTACATTTAAATAGATATATTCAATTATTTAAAAACGTTTTTTATTGTTTTGTTAAAGTAGAGAACAAGCATTTTGATAAGTTATGAAGTAGATATTTTAGTTTTTTCATAAAAGAGAGAGAGCCAAACCAGAAGACTTGCAGGTAGATACTTTTTGCCTGTCGGTCGAAAAGGGTTCTGCGAATTCTTTAAGAAACTTACATAGGCGTCGAAGTAGAAAAGTTATAGGTTATCAAACTCTTTCTCTTTTTCTAACGCAAATTTAATATTTTATTAAATAATTTTTTTGTTAATAAAATATATAAGTTATTTGTTAATGAAATACATATTTTTACATCTTTATAAATAATCTTTTATTATATACTAAAAATATAATTATATTTATATATTATATTTATATTTATATACAATTGTTTAATAAAAATATAAATATTTAAAAATATATGTATTAATAGATTTGCGTGTTGTATATGTATGTGTGGTCTGTCTATGTAAACGTATCTTAGTTTAAAAAAAAAAATATATATATATATATATATATATATATATATATAAGATTGTAATTTAATTTTCAAATATAACTTAAATTTTTTTATATTGATTTTATTCTTTTAAATACGTTTATTTTTTTTGAATATATAAAGGTAGCCCTAAATGTAACGCAGTAAAGCAGGCTTTCACACTGAGGTGGCATGTAACTTTAGTGTGAAAGCCGGCTAACAGATTAAATCTTTGCTGTCGCAGCACGAACGAACCACCATTTGGTAGTCAAACGATCTGAGAATCGCTTTCGTCAACAGTCTTACGAAGACACTTAGCTTGCTTCTGTGACCAACGTTATATCGTATTATTTCTTATAACACAGTTTTTTTCATTAATAATTGGTAACTATTCTAAATTTTATTATCTATAGATTTCTCTATTTATTTTCTATATTTATTTTTCTCTATTTATTATATATTTATTTGTATAATTTTTTTTCTGTGATATATAGAAGGAGTGAGAAAAAGAGGGAAGTTTTGAATAATTCTTGCTCACAACTAGTTGTTAAATTATTTCTGAATACGGCGAGCACATCGTTGCTGTAGGTCCTGTGGGGTTTACATATTCAATATTTGTAGATTTGGTAAGTTTTATTTAACACTATACTTATTTTTTGCGATTTCCATATAAATATTTTTATTTACATTAATTGCGAACAAATACAAACATTTTTTATGATTTTTTTAAAAAAGTTCTACTAAAAGAGAGGTAGCTTACATATTGTAGTGAATTAAATAAAAGTACAAAATGCCATAATCATAAGACATTTGTAAGATTGATAAATGATGATTATAAAAGTCTTGCCCGGAGCGTTATCGAAAGTACGTATAAGCTTCCTCGATTTATTGACAATTTACCAACACGTGTGTAACCACGTGTCGTCCTGTATTACGTAGTTACGACACGGAATCGTTTCTTGTTGCGATTACACGTACGCGTGTCTTAATATAATGAGATAAATCTTTACGTTTGCCGTAAACGCGCAGAGAAAAATGTTTATCGCTTATTTCTGTTGATGCATTTTTCTATATGTGCGTTCTTTCAAATCAAAATGCTTACAATTGCCAAAAATTATTTTTTCTTTGTCTGAGACATTTGTGCAATTTATTATATTTATACGCAGTAAAAACTGTTGCGTTTATATGTCAAAATTTTTTTGTATTGCCAAGTTTTGATCATTACTTCGATGTAAAAAATCGACATACAATTGATATTAAAATTAACATTTTTTATTGCTTACTGTATATATTATTATTTTGATTTTTTGAATTACTTGAAAACAAATATTTTCTTATTTTATTTTTACAGATTCTACAGTGTTGTATCATTACCTCGCTTCCTTTCTTATTAAAAAACAAAATGATATTCCTTACTTATATCATCTTCAGCATTATCCTTATACTTCTTATTTACATTTTTCGTAAAAATCGCAAAACGCTCCGACTTCCCCCGGGACCGACCGGCATCCCATTGCTCGGTTATTTACCATGGTTAGATCCCAAACGGCCACACGAATCACTGACAAATCTGGCGAAGCAATACGGTCCGATTTGTGGCCTTAAAATGGGGTCCATTTATACCGTTTTATTATCAGACCCTCAGCTGGTAAGGCAGGCTTTTGCCAAGGATGCATTTGCCGGCAGGGCTCCACTCTATTTAACGCATGGCATAATGCAGGGATATGGTATGTAATTTATTGCCTTTTTCTAGTAATATATAGTTTTTGATATTAAATAAAAAATAAATATTTAATATATATTTTAAATCCAAAATGACAGAATGTAACTACGCTATTTTTTTCATGAAATTTTGTTCACTATACGTGACGTGTGATCAAAAAATACGGTGAATTTACATAGTGCGCCATTTATCGGAAAGAGACTGAACTAGCTTGTAGAGTAATTTGTCACTTCATGTTCTTGATACCCGTATAAAAAGTTTCACTTTATTTAGTTTATCTACTCACTGTTGACAAAACTATTTCTTAGTTTGTGGTTTTTAATCTTTCCTTTTATCTTATACTACCAACGTAAAGGGAGTAACCAAACAGAAATCTGATTAGATTTCCTATTTAAAATTTAGTTGTTTTCAAAAAAAAATTTTGATTAAAATAAAATCAAGATTGTCGAATAAAAGAAACCTATGTAGTTTTTTAGATTACTCAAACCGCATTCAATGAAGAACGAAAAACTACAAGGTGTAGTACAGTCTCGCGACTTAATAAATTTCGCAATTTTTTTTTTATTCTCTCAAAAGAAATTATATATAATTTCTAATGTCTCATCAGTGATAAACAGTCAAAATTGAAACATCTCTCGAGGTTTTGTATGTCTGCGGCTTTTGAGAGAATAAAAATTATTGCGAAACTTATTAAGTCGCGAGACTGTACTACACCTTTTAGTTTTTCGTTCTTCATTGAATGCGTTTTGAGTGATCTAAAAAACTATGTAGGTTTCTTTTATTCGACAATCTTGATTTTATTTTAATCAAAAATTTTTTTTTGAAAAAAATTAAATTTTAAATAGGAAATCTAATCAGATTTCTGTCTGGTTACTCCCTTTAGTAGTATAAGATAAACAGAAAAAAAAATATATAGTGTTATATATATAATAAGAAACTATATATATATATATATATAACACTATATATCTAACACAATCTTCTTGATAATATAATTTTTGAAAACACGAATCTTATGTGAGTTTTTCATAAACAAGAAAGAAAATATAAAGATGAATAATATAAAGCACCTTCAACAAATTAAAAAAAAAAAACAAGTTTGCTTCACAGCGAATAACAGCTTTTACATTTGTATTGTACCGTATTTTAGATTGCTTACATTTTTATAAAAATATATGAGTTTTTAAATCACGCATTTTGAATACTACAGTTACAATAAACAAATTTTAAACGTTATAGACACACACAGTTTTGAAACATTTTCATACATTTGTTATTTGTTTTATTGATTTTCAATATAATTAATTATTTTAAATAATTGCATTGTATACACGCATTATATATTCAATTGTTTAGTTACAAGATCGCGTCATATGTGAACATCCGCGTCATATGGCGACCATAAGTTGTGGATTGCGTTTTCGTAACAATGAAAGGGCAGCTCCGATTACTACGGAGGACATAACGGTTCCTCTAACGTAGGAATTTCGCCGTGGACCTGCTAACCTACTAAAATAGATAAAACTTCAATATCCTGGTGATGCCTTAGTGAAAAGCTGACGTCTCGGCTAGTGAAAAATAGAACGTGGTTGATTTGAGTACAGTAGAAGTTAGAGAGCTTCTAGGCGGCGATTGCGCTCGTCGTTTGCCATCGATAAGACCGTCGACCTACAAGCGCTCTTCCGTGTTAACCCGTGCACGCACAGTGAAAGTCTTTGAAGAAGTTTCGCCCTATGGTGTAAATGAGCAATTATTTTCTTTTGGAAAAATTCACACCGTTTGTTGGCAATATTAAATTTACAGCTTTTTTACGATATTTCTAAGAAATTACACGTTAGAATGCGTTTGTTGTAAAAGTAACGCGTCATCTTATTCAATCTTATTCAACATCAAGTATTCCACTGCGTCAATTTGTTACGATGTCGTCGCAACATGTCAAGATAGATACGTGTTTCATCAACGCGTAAGTCATCTAGGAGAAGAATTAGATCTAAGTTAGTTTACATACACAATTTTGTGATAAGAATACCAGATCCAATTGCCGTTACGTTTTCTGAATTATGTTACTGCTGTTGCAGTAACGTTCAATAGTTTTTTCTGCATACATCTGTCTACTATTTTGAACATATATTTAGAGTATTTTTTCTCAACTACATTGTACGTAGAAAATACGTCCGCCAAGAGAGAGTTTCATTGTTTTACTTCTCATCTACAATAGAAATACGTACGAATATTCAGAATATACATATAACATCTAATTAATTTTACCAAGCAAAACTTAGTACATTATCATGCGCTGTAAAACTATTTTTAGTTTGCCAATTCTTGGTACGTAGCTTTTATTTTCCAGATAAAAAACAGGGTTACTCGAACGCTCATAAGTTTTGTCCACCGGTTGAAAATTCGCCGGCAAGGCTACAAATTCCGTCGTCGGCGACAACGACGGCACGAAGTCGATCCGAGAGCCATGCCGAGTCGAGCGAGACGATAATTTCACGGCAAAGTGTACCACAGAACTCCCCGGTTATATCTTACACCTCGTTTCGAAAGCTTCCATCCTCTCGTTTGTAATCTTCGGTGCTCTTTCCTCTCTTTCCGTGCCTTTCTCTTTCCTTCCTCCGCTCCCTTTGATTTCTTTTTTTCTTTTGATGCTGTATGTACGTGCGTGTGCGTGAGTCTTCGGTGATGTTTACGAGGCGCCATGTCTTCGAGTCAACGGCCCCGTGATTTCTCCATTCATTTCTTTCGTTGCCGATCTTTTATAAGCACACCTATATAGCGGATTAATAAATATTCGTACGCATTACAAACACACAAACTGTGATATTGATTAAAAACGATTGCAGTTGTCGCGGATTCGATTTGAACGTAAAAAATCCGTGAAATTGGAAATGTGAGTAGGAAATAAATCAAGTTTTTTCAGTAATTGGGCAATAATTAATATTAAACTGTCTTTAGCTTGGCATATATAACTTTTATTACATAAATTAAAAAATTTGCTTAAATATACTAAAATACACTATTTCTTTTTGGAAGAAAAATGATTACAATTAAGAAAATAAGAAAACAAAATTATATAAAAAATTATATAAAAAATCGTATTGCAATAAAAGTAAATTTAAGTGCAGAAGAAAACAATGCAACAAAGTTATATTACTTTAAAAGAGATCAATTGGCAATAATAATAAATTCATGATACACGACATAGAGTACGGCTACATCTCTCGTATGTGAACCCTCGCGACATTGAGGCGCTTCTGGTACCTTTCACGAGAAGCTTCGGGCTGGAGGTCTTCCTCCACTCCTTGTAGATGCCCCTCCAGGGTATTCAGGAAAGATCCTCCCGCCAAGAATCTCCTTTCTTTCTTTCTACTGGAATAGTGCTTGGTGGGGAGATCCTAGCCACGCCTCTATCAACAGGTATTGTCCATAGTACACATTTCATGATATGTGAAGTGTTGCTAAGATTAGATAAGTGTCGGCGTGGAAGAAAGAAAGATATCGAAGTGTCTAATGCCGTTTTGAGTAGTGACGTATCGGGATTAGTCGGACGAGCTCACAGTTGCAGACCGTTACTACTTAAATACTGATTGTTACGCGTTGAAATCTCCGAAACAAAGTATCATAAAACGCTTACATACTTTACATACTTGCTCCTCCGCGTTTTTTTTTCAGAACGTAACAGAATGCTGCAATATAATTTTTTATATACATTTTTTATAATTGAGAATAAAAAATATTTTGTCAAATATTTGTATAAAGAAGAATTAAAAAATTATCGTATTTTTTTAAAACATATTTCATAACTTTTTTTTTATATAAAGGCACATAAACAAAAATCTATCTTATAAATTGTTATAATTGATGTATAAACAAATACTTTTAAACCAAAATTAACTTTTGTGCCTATTTAAAAAACAAAACGAGATAATTCTTGTTTGTGTACGAATTTTATACATAAAACACACGCAATATCTATTATTTATTAATTATATTCTCCGTAGTATATTTTCCAACATTGAATAATCAAGAGTATCTTATATTTCTGTATAATGAAATATTTTGAGAGAAACCTTGTACATATATAAATTTGTCTGTATCAAGGAAGATGAACGTGGAAGATATCGACTTGGGAAGCGCGTGCCTTTTGACGACGCAACTCATGATTATCCGACAGCGCATTTACACGCACCTTTATGGGCGCGCTCACATTTCTTATGCGGTCGACAAACTGGTTGTCCCGCTAAGATGGATGATGTCGTAACGTAATAGCGTTAATTTATTATAGAGCGCGTCGATGGCAATAACGCGCTGTCTAAACATATTATGCAATTTTCTGCATAGCGCGTGGCGTCGCTAGATCAATTGAGTCGTGTTCATCTGTCTCCGCAAGCGTGTATAGATTATAAATTATAAAGATGGAGAAAAACGAGAAATAACGGAAAGAAATAGTGCTTCAACGACAGAATGCGCGTATTAATAAACTTACTAATAAAATTCCAATACATAACTGCACTAGTATTTAATTAGTATAATTAACAATTTTCAGATTCTTTTTCCACAAAAATTTTATATATAACCTGAGAATATATAATCGTAAATATATTTCACATACACAATGGCAGGATTTCTTAGAATAGAAATGTTCTATCTGTTTCCAGGAAATTATTTCAGCAAAATCTATTACAATGAATAAATGCATAAGAAATCATGAGGAATAGGCCTGATCGGAAATACCGATCTGATAGCGAATACTGTCGGCGTTGAAATAACAAAACGATCAACAAAAGTGCTTTGGTCGCGGTGCTGACCAAAGGATCATTAATAGGCTTCTGAGAAACAAGCCGAAAGTGAGAGCAAAGTTGACCCTTATAAATCACGTCTATCACAGTTACAAGGAAATAATTGAATATTTCTCGCGATTATGATTCAGTCTTGAAAAAAATACAGTATTAAACTGCAATATTCTTTATTGCGGCATTACTGTTTTCTCATAGAAATTCGTGAAATTGCGTGACATCGAAATACTCGTGATAAAGACTTTGAATTTTGGTTGATTCGCTTTATTAAACGCGAATTTTTCTTTGTATCTTGGCCGGAGCAAATAGTGCAAACGCTGAATGATAAGATGATATCTTAGTAAATAATAGATCGTTATAACGCCATCCGGTGCATCGACCTCCATCGCGTGGTAGATTGTCAAGAGTATTGGGACTTTGCAACGGCGTCGACCTTTAAGCAGGTCGACGAAACCTGAAATTCTCGACGTCCTTGATGCTGTCGCTGCCACACAAACGACGCTAATTTCGGTCAATAAAAAAAAAAGAAAAAAAAATGATTTTGGTTCTGCCACGATTCACTTTTATAATATCACGATATTTATTTTAAATTTTGAATCATTTAATATGATCTTTCAAAGACCAGTTGCAAATGTTTTATTCTTTTTATCAAAGTTGTTTGAGCAACAATTGTTTTCGTTAAATTTTTCAATCTAATATATACTAACAAATAAGCTCTGGCACACACATGCGGAATTTTAATTTCAATCAAAATTTACACATGTAGGCTTTTTTATATAACTTTGATAGATAAACGAGTAGAGACGCGATCGATCGCGTGATGATCTACATTGTTGCAAAAAAGTCGCAGTTCCATCGGACTTGGCATACTACAACATTGACTCAACGATACAGTCAGGCGCGCATGTAAAACAAACATTGCATGCAAACTTCCAAGCGTGACTATTCCCGCATGGCTTATTACACACGCGTAACACTGACGTAAGATGTCCGCGATTTTCCCGGCGGCGTGTTTTCCTCAAACGTGGGAGTGGGTGTGGATGGAATTTCACTTTTTCCTTCGCGCGGCACGATCCTGCTCTCTACGCAATATCCTTGTATCTCTTTTTTTTCATTCTACATAATTATCGACGCGTCTACTATTTTTTACGTAACTGTTATCATTATATTTATCACGAACTAACGAACGCTGTTGTATTATACAAACGAGAGAGAACGATTTTCCGAAACAGAAATCGAAGAAATGAATAAGACGTAATTCGTCATTTGATGACCAAATGTTCACGTAACACTTAAATTGTTGTCTTATATTTGCAATTTATGTTCTTTTAATTAACAATGACATCGACGAATTTTGTCGCTGATTTTTGTTTCTAATTAATCTTTTTCCGTTTTCGTAACGAGTAGTTTGCTCGTGATTGAATATGTTAGGCACGTCTCGGGGACCGGTCATCAAGACTCACGCCGATGCGAAGGACTCTCACTTTTATCGGTCTCCTTGAAGGAAGTTCTGTCGGTCGTCGACAGTTCTGTTCTGCATCCGCGGGGAATTACAGTTAGCTGTGCAAGGACGGGCCGATGGCCTTTCCTGTTAACAGAGACAGAGCGTTGCACGAACTATCAGAGTTTATATTGTTAACCTGTCACACGCTGTCAGCATGAAAACATTAGTTCATAGCCGTCAACTTTAACTTCACTAAAGTTTCATTTTTAAATTAAGGTATTTCGTTAGTCTGTCGTATATATTTTGGCAAATAAAAACTTTGATTAACATAAACACATCAATCTCATCAAATATATTTGTCGAATTTTGTAATCAAAATCTAAGAACATTGAACTGTTTAAAGAAAATAAAAACGCGCGTGATTATATACAATATAATTTTTCACGTATCTTGTGAAATTCATGCTTTTTGACATAAAATTAAGAATATAAATATAGTATTTATAATTGTTTTATGAAAGAGAAGTTTTTTTTCTTATATATCTATATATAAATATAAAGATATATACTTTTTTTAATATAATTCTTTTACAGTCATACACACACATATTGTCAGAAGAATGTTATGTATAATTTGATCGTAAACACACTCAGAAAGATCATCGCCAAATAGTCGCGCTTTGGTTGACCGACAGCGCTATCTTGGCATTTTAAAAAACGCGCAATAAAACGCTCGAAATGATCGGTCGACTGTATTTGGACAGAACGACTATCACGAGTGTCTCCTCGTGCGTTGCATTCGTCGACTTTTTGCTGACTGAAGTGGAATGACCGGCCCTGAAACGTTCAGACGCATATATGCATTATCCGCCTCTCGTTTATTTCTGTCGGTTCATGAATTCGTGAGCGCTTCTCTTGTCGCTGAGCTCGCGCGTCTGAGAATGATGTCATCCCCTGAAATCACCGTAGCGGGGTGAGTTTAGTTGCGTAAGAATCAATCGACAAGGAGAGCTCATTGTCCGTAACTCTTCTTTTCGTGTTAGCGCGCAGCAGATATTTCTGCATCGTAGAAGAGGTGAGAGCCAGCGGCATGCGAGATATGAAATTAGATTTGTCCCTAGTTTCTCTCTTTTTTTAAAGTTTCTAAAACAATAAATCCTCGAATTGAGTCAATAAAGCCAATTTAAAATTAATAGAGATTATTGCCTCAACTTTTTAAAGTTAATATATAAATAACTCTAAATATCTATATTTCCAGAAAAATAATGGCAGTTTTTATATTTTAAGTCTTACTTTAGACAATAATTTTAATGAGACGCAAAGGTTTCATTTATTCAGAAATATGACTTAGAAGACCGACCGATCGAGCAATAAAGTGAGCAATTAATGCGCACGTGGCGCACCTACGATCCCGGAAAGTTCTCTTTATGTCATTTAAATACGACACTGACCTATCGGCAGCGTTGCCTCTTACAACAAGCTGCGAATTACAAATAGTATCGCAAACACACAGCACACGTGGTAACCTATTTGCACCCTGAAGTGTGGGAGCTGGCGGACTTTCATTATTTTTCTTTCTTGACTTTACTTGAAGCTCGCTAGCATTTCATTTGACAAAGTCTAAATTTTCAGAAACACTTATATTTATTTCAGTGCAGTTCTATAGTGATTTCTTATATAAGAAAAATTACAAACCTTACCTCGACGAGAAAGTAACAACTAATTAAACTGATTGAGATATTTCACCGTGGTATATCTTTTTTCTTTCTTTTTTACATATAATTGCAATAAGATTATTAATGTTTGCATTACATACATACATGCAACAAATTAATATATGCGTTATATGTAAAAAAATTTACGATTGTTTGATAACCTGTGCGCAGAAGAACTTGATCTGTATTCCTGCGACATATCGACCGCAAACCTTGATAACATCATCGAGCAATGATCAAGATTCCGAGATCATTCTAATACCGGTGACAATCGCGTGTGATCTGGCTGCAAAATCGATGCAGCAATGTAGCACCAACATCATCGTAGTGTAGATGCATAAACTTCGGTACAAAGTTAGATTTTGTTTCTTAAGATTGTTTCTTAAGAAACACGCGTTAGAGATGTATGTACATCTAATACACGCGATATATATTTTACTAAACTAAGATCGTTCATACATCGAGAGGTTTCACACTTGTTTCTATACTATAATATTAAAATTATTTTACACTTCTTGTACTGCTTACATTCATAACAAAAAAACAATAATGTGTAGTATAAATACTATATAACATTCATTTCAATATGTAACAAACAAAAGAGAATGTCTGTGAAAGCAAAAAGACAATGAAGAAAATATAAGTAAAAAAATGTATTTTAATCAATAGAAAATAAAAGAAATCAAAAATAGATCATGCTAGTTAGGATGAGCACTTTGTCACCGTCACCCGTCATGTTTAATCAGCAATTGCAATCGTTATTAATCGATGATCTCGCACCGTGGCTGCTTTATTCCGCGAACATTCGCGTCGCCAAAGAGAAGGGATGGTGAGTAGGTGCGGCGAAAGATTATTGTTTATTCATTCGAGGATTATCCTTCGGCGAGTTCAGTGGCTGCGCCTACTTACGGAATGACGATAATTCTCTCGCTATTTTTTGCACCCTCCCACCAAGTGCGGCTCGCGAGAAAGAGAGAACTGCGACAGAGATATGTTCGGATGGTTTATTTATGGCTGTGCGATTAAGATGCGACAAGAATCGCCTTTGCGTGCATAAAAAAACAAAAAGAAAAGAAACAAAAAGGAAATTTGAATAAGATTCTCATCTTCGTTGCTTTGTGCGCCATTTTGCAGGCCTTATTAGCGCCGAGGGTGACCTCTGGAGAGATCAAAGAAGGTTTGTAACTGGATGCTTGAAGAATTTCGGCATGGTAAAGTTACCTGGTGCCAAAAGGGACAAGATGGAGAAGAGAATTCTCGCGATCGTGGACGAGTGCATATCGGTAAATTAGTTTCTAAGATATTTTATGTTAAACCATGTACTATGTCAATTCATTAAATCTTACTCTAAATTAGCACGTTAATAATCAAATAAGTATTTATTATCCAAAAGAAATATTTATAAGGAATTCATCAACATTTATGTTAACATTTATGTTACTGAAAATGTCATCATATTTATTTTATTAATGGTGTCGTCAATTTTCTGTGGCATTTTATGTGATGTGTCTATCAATTTCGTATAACAATTTTTATATTTTGTTACATCAGATAAAACTTCATAAACTGTAAAATAAGCTTTTAAGCTTTACGTGCTTTTAAAAACACTTTATAAATTAGATAAAACGTTTGGTGTACACGGAGTGTGTGAAATAGAAGACAAGACATTTTTTTAATCTTTTAGAAATTAAAGGAACGTGCTACAGAGGATATCGATCCATTGGATACGATGCATCATTGCATAGGTAATATAATAAATAACCTCGTGTTTGGCAAGATGTACGATGAAAATGACGAGGTGTGGAAATGGCTGAGACACTTGCAAGAAGAAGGAGTTAAGCACATTGGAGTAGCAGGGCCGCTCAATTTTTTTCCATTTCTCAGGTGCAGCATTTTTCCTTGACGAAGGATTCTCTTTCGAGGATCCTTTTCGTTTCGTAATCATGCCGATTTGCATAATGAGTTATATGTTGCACTTCTTATTTTATATAACAAGAAGATATCAACTAACAAATACATTATTATTAAAATTAACATCAATTAACATCAAAATGTTTATATATACGGATAAATAAAATATAAATATTAATTTACAACCAATATAGTTAGTGATAAAATCTTTTGTTGCAATTTTTTTCACTGTTTAGATTTATACCACGATATGGCAAATTAATGGAGTCGCTTATCGGTGGTAAAATAAAAACGCATAAAATATATCAAATGATAATCGACGAACATCGTGCTCGACCTGAGAAAACAGATACCTTTCTTGCAGCTTTTGACAATGTAATGAGTACTAACGCTAACAATTCTGGATCTTTCACACAATTACAATTTTATCACTTGTTAGCCGATCTTTTCGGCGCAGGTACCGATACTACTCTGACGACATTTCGTTGGTTTCTGCTTTTTATGGCGGTATATCCAGACGAACAAGTACGTTTTATATCGATTTTCTTACGTACAAGATATTTGTTAAGGAATTTTTTTTAATCTTATATGTCTTTGCAGAAAAAAATTAAAGATGAAATGTATGAAGTATTGGGACAAAAGTTACCTTGCTTAGAAGACAGACTTGTTTTAATTCAACTGGAAGCAGCCATTGCGGAGACACAAAGAATACGAAGCATCACACCGCTTGGCGTTCCGCATGGTACAGTAGAGGTAATTATAGCAATATAATATATATTAAGTGGACAAAAAAATATAAAATGTGTTTAGTTTTTCTGTATTCTATGAAAACTATTATAAACGAGTATAAAATTATCAAGTATATCTTTTCCGAAAAGATATGTTGTGTACCACATGTAATCTAATCTTGAAATATTTTCTTGTTATTGATTAATATATTGCGGTTTAATACATGCAATAAATGCAAGATGATATGAATTCAGGATACGCAAATAGGTGATTACGATATACCGAAAGGTGCCATGATTATTCATTTGCATTGGTCTATTCATCTGGATCCTTCTTATTGGCACGATCCGCTCGCTTTCAAGCCCGAAAGATTTATCAGCGAGAATGGAAGTCTCGCCAAGCCAAAAGCTTTCATGCCTTTCCAGACGGGTAAGCAGCCTTACAAAAAATCAGTAACAGGTTTTTTCCTTAATATTAAATGTGTGTTGTTTTATGCAATAGGTAAACGCGTGTGCGTTGGCGATGAACTGGCAAAAATGATATTATTCTTGCTTGCTGCAAGAATACTTTATTCATTTGATATTTCTGTACCTCCTAATACGCAAATCGATCTGGAAGGCGAATGCGGAATTACCCTGATTCCGAAGTCGTATCGATTGGTTTTCACACCGCGGAAATAAAATTTATTGCAATAGTATTCTGCAATAATGTTATTCTATCTTTTTTAATTTTTCTTCTTTTTATTAGTTCTTAAATATAATGTATAGCAATAATAGTAATTACAATAATGGTAATTATCTTTTATTAAAGATCCTAATTTTAAATAATATCACTTGCTTGTTTATAAATTTATATTTTGTAAGATTGTGGCTTTTTTAATATAATAAGAATATAAATAGTTGCTTTACATATTATAACAAAAAATTTGATTTAAAAAATAAAGTTTTTTTCAGTTTATCTTATATTCTCTCAAAAATTGGATCGACTTTTTATTGAATTACATAAAAGATCCGTCGTAAAGATTGCTCAAATTTAAATATTTGATTTTGATTAATTATTTAAACCATTAAAATCAATCGTGATTGTATATACTCGGAGATGATTTTTGCGTAAACCGTCAGCGCCCTTTTGTTTCGATCCTTTTTCTCTTCCTCTTTCTTTTTTCCTCATATACGCCTCGCATCGAATTGATGACATTCCGCCAGCGTTATGCAACGCACGTTTTTTTCTCACAATGTAACGTCCTTGGATGTACCATAGGCGCACCGTTCACCTACTGCCAAATTGGTTGCTGCCAAAAACTGCGTTTCCTTCTAACTATCAAAACACACAAAAACATTCGAGGAGATTTATAAAACACTCCAGAGACTTCAGCTTTTTTTTTAACGAAAAAAAAGAAAAAGATTATAATATAAGTAATTAGTGCATTCAAGAATCTTTTTTTTTTTAATTACGTTAACATTTATGGATTTTAGATATTATTTAGATATACGATAGTAGAATATAAGTCTCTCATAAAAGTATATAATCATTATAGAAGTTATGTTTATAAGACAAGTTAACAAAATACAGGCTTTCTTAGCAGATTTATTACTTGACATGATCATATTTCAATCGCGTAATAAATAAGTTTTACATGAAATTTTTTTATATATAATAGACATATATATGTATACTAAATATAAATATACTAATAAAGTGAAGTAACTATTAATGTTTAGCAACTTCTGTAAAAATTAATTTTCTTCAGTAATCTTAATAGATTATGTCAATGTAATGTTCAAAAGTATCTTTGATCAAAAAGAAAAGACGAAAGAATCCAAGCTATAAAAAAATCTTGTTCTATCAACACACTTTTAAGTTCGTGTAATATGGAAAAAAGTCACAAAACGCGCCTGTTCATGCTTCACTGAGTTAAGCCTTGAAGCAACGGTTTTTCAAACTTTCTGTCTTCACGGTGGCCAGTTGGCGTTTGACCGACTCTTCAGTAAGAAAAAAACCACGAAGTTGCCAAAGCGCGTAGTGAAATTAGTCTTACCAGGTCATTAAAAGACGCGTGCACATGATACCACGCGCATCTGGAGTGCTTGCGTTTTTATATGTACAACACCGCAGGAAATGCGTTATTATCAATATACGTACGTTTCACGGGATGTACTGATGTCCAGCTGAGCTGACCTTACGTAACTTGTGTGCGGTTTGGGGCCACTTGGCTCTTGTGTCATTAACCTTACCCGGCGTAATGTACCTGGCGACGATATTTCGTTAGAAACCCAGAACGCGCGAGTTTCTCTTATGTAAGCACGCAAAGCGCTCGTGTCTTTCTCTGAATCGCGACGCGAATTTTTTGTATGTAAACGTCTGTAAGCGAATTAATTTCGGAGGATACGCGTTACTAACAAAGTGTTCATAAGAGTCCTAATATATTTTAATTAACCGTACAATCTTTTTTCTGAGAATTGCAAAAATAGTTAAGATTAAGATTTTTTATATATGCTTCCATTGTGTGTGTATTTGGAACAATAAATGACAGAATTTTTTTTTTTTAATTAGGTGCTACCATAATATGAATACTTCTTAAATTTTTTGCAAAATTATATTTATTTGTGACTTTTTAACTGATAATGTATATAAAAAATGGAAATGAAAAAAGCGTTCTACCAAATGAGAGATCATGCGTCCCAGTGAGAAGAGAAAGCTAGGCCCAGCTCTTCTTTTGTAGGCTTCGAGCAAAAGTTCCCGACCGGCGACAGGAAGGGATAAATGAACGCGATCGGAGATTACAGTCGAAGGTCGATAGTGCAGTCAAAGAATCTGAAATTTTTTTTACTCATCGTAAAATCCTGTTCTTAAGATTGCAATTTTCAGATAAAATTGTTTTGCAAAAATAACCGATAGAAAAATATTTTGTTAATAGAAGCTCATTACACGCGCGCGTTACAAATGTGACAATAATGTACGGTGTTTCAGAACATTTAGTTATAGCACTCTGATTTCATCGTACACTCGACATGTTTTAGTAATCTTTCTCTCTTTCTTACACACACACATACACACTCTTTCTCTTTACATAGACAATTCAAAAAAATAGTGATAAACGAATCCTAAAATAATAAAAAATGACATTATTTCACTTGCAAAACTTTATATTTCATAAAAAAATACATTACACTTATTAAGTATAACACGGACGACGAGTGAACACAATGTATTTGCGATAATTTAAGCTTAATTTATAATTTAATGTTAATTAGCATCTGATATTAGACAAAGAAATTCCGCGCGCGCAGCATAGATCCCGTTTTGAGTTTATCAGTCAAATAAGTTTATGCTAAAATTGAAGCACATATTTCTCGGAATACGTTTGCTTTGAATGCTCACACGCTTTGAGCGTTAGTCTATCTTTTATTCCTCTCTTTTATGTAAAGAGCAATAAAGATATTGACGCTTATATGGTCCAAAGCGAACATATTCTTGAACGCATGCTTCTAATTTCACGGATTTGCTATGCTGCTGAGCGCTCTTTGCTACTTCTAGAGTCTAGAGGATGCACAGCCCAGGATATCTTTGGGAAATCGAAACTACGACGTCACAATGAATCGTTGACCGTACATCCCGTATCTTTCGAATTCACAGCCTCAGCCCGCGCTGAAGAAAGTCGAGAAAAAGTCTAGAAGATGCGTTATACATTTCATAAATATTAGAAGAACGCCATGGTAACGACGAGTAAAAACAGTGTCAAAAAAAAAATAAAATTCAATTTGAATTGGAATTTGATAACTTGAATTTTTTGCGAAAATAATTTAACATTATCTAGATTGCAAAAATATTGCAAATATTTTTGTCGATTTGAGTTTCCAAATTCAAAATTAATCTTAGATATTCGAGTATCAGAATATTCGAAAATTTGAAAAACCGTATAAAACAATATGTATAAAAGACCAAATTTGAGTATCAATAATTCTATTAACTTTGTCGTGTTTCTTTGCATAAAACTAAGAACTTAGCGTAAGACAAACATTTATTATATTATGTTTGTGATTTTTTTCGATCAGCGCGGTCGGCATAGTACAATATTTTTGGGATAAAAGTCATCAATTTTCGGGATAAAAGTCATCATTTGAGTCTGGTGCGCGACGATTAACTAGAAAGTCCAAATAGTTTTTATTTTCTTACAATAGACTATAAATTTATAAAATTTTTCATAAATTTAATTTTATAAAAACGGTTAATTGCGACGCGCATATATATATATATATATATATTTATTACATATATATATATACATATATATATACATATATGTAATAAAAAAGAAACAATTAAAAGTAAAAGAAAACACAAAAACTAAATTAGTAACAAAAAGTAAGCGAGGTAAAGCTAGTGGGTGAATAGCTCACTTCAGGACTGCTATAAAAAATCGGAACAGTCTTATCAAATTTTATGACTGATCTTTTTTTTAGCGGTGGAAATGGAGAAAAGACTGTAATTTAAGGTAAACCGGCGACTGCTATTCGAAAAGTATTATATACATATTACTATTGAGAAAAGTCAATGACACACGCGATTCATCGGCCCTTTGTATTGTTAATTACAACTGTGTTGTATACAGTCGAAGTTTTATATTGTTACATATTGTTCCATATTATTAAGTACATCTTATTATAGAAAAGTAACATACAGAAAGCAATATTCGCGAAAATGATCAGAAAATTGAATTGATGAGATGTGAAAAAAAAGAGAAAGGAAAAAGATTTAAAAAATACGGTTTAATCCATAAAGATTTTGTTATACTTTTAATCTAGTCAAAAAGATTAATATTTTTTTCAAGGGACCAATAGATTCTCCTCTATAATAAACCTGCTTCCGGAAAAAAACAAAAATAACTGTTAACCTTTTCGCTCCGGGGATTTTTCCTTTAAAATTGACCTCGCATTTTAGCTAAAAAAAGTTAATAATAACCTGCTACCCCCCCCCGTTCAAAGTTAATTTTGAAGGTCAAAGAAGTAACCAGGATTTTTTTCAATTTTTTTCCTAAATTTAGTGCATTAAATTGACCTTATAAACATCTATTACGTTCGCTTTTCTTGCTGGTCCATATATGGACCAGTCCCGGAGCGAAAAGGTTAAAGTGTTACATTATTTTTAAAATCTGTTTCATTTTTTAGATATATTGTGAGATATGTTATTTTTTATTGATGTTTAAAAAAAAAAAAAAACTTCTTTCTCTCTTACGGATCGCAAAGTTAGATGTAACTTATTTCAACAATTTAATGCAAAAGTGATCAAAAATATAAATTGTATAGTAGATCTCTGATTTAAACCTGTCGTCGAATCTTGTAGAGATCGAAAAGAACTTTAGGGAATTCTAAAGAATTGAAATCAAGAGTTTACTATATCTATTTTATGCGATTTTATCTTCAAGATAAATTGTTTTGTAAAACTTATTTACTAACTTTTTAACAATTTTTGCCAAGTTTTTGAAACATTATTAATATGTCAATATCTGACTGCCGTCAGGTATTTAATTAGTAAGCTATCGAACTGGTAGTTGGAATATGGCTTTTTATATCTCTTTATAGTAAATCTATACACACACACACGCCCACACAAATCTTATGACATTTGCTTGTATGGAAACGCACGATAATCTATATGTTCGACTTGTAAATCTCATTTGTACGTGACAATAGGAACAACTACCGTGCTCGTATTTTGGAATCCGCTGAGAACGTTTAATAGCTGCCGACTTTTCGAATGCTATTGCAAGGAATGTCTCGCAGTATGCAGCAAACTTGGAAAGGATCTGGCGAAATCGTGACGCCCTCGTTGCCTATGAGGCTAGGCAATGAGGCGTCTGAAGGTATTCTCAGTTCGAAAGTGTGCATCATCGCACTGAAAATTAAATATATTTCCATTCTTGCCAAAGTCTCACCCAGACACATTCGTTTGCCGATGCCGAAGGGTATAAAAGCATTTGGTTTGACGAAATTGCCGTCAGCTGTTAGAAACCTGCTTGGTCGGAAGACTTCCGGATCTGTCCAGAGTTCTGGATTCATATGCACTGCATGCACCAACGGTATCACTTCGGAACCGGCTCGTATAGTATAACCTTTAAATTCCACATCTCTGTAACAAAAAAAAACAAAATTACTGATTAACAAATAACATTAACAAATGTCGCAATAATTAAAAAAACATGTATTGTGAAGAAAAAATCTCAAGAACTAGACATAGATTTATTTACGAATAATTAATCAACACATCATTAATTACAATCACCGATTAAAAATAAATTGCAAGAAAATATATTATTTTTGTACAATTATTTTTTTCAAATAATAATAGAGAATTATCTCGGGCTCTTTAGTATCAAACTGATGAATATATGTAAGTCTGGTCAGTAAGAGCCGATCGCAGGATGTGCGGAAATAATGTGGAATAATGCGGAAATAATATATACGTACGCATACATTTATATATATGCATTAACGTGTAAATTTTTCACGTGAGTTTTTTGAACTGTAATAACAATTCTTTAAATCATATAGGATGCTAGGTTTGCATCAACATATATAAAAGACCCCGTATATCCCCCTAACTAATTTTTTAAATATTGCGAAAAAAACTCCTCAATTATTTTTTTGTACAAAAATTGTATAATATATAATTTTGTTATTTAATGTTTCAAAAACCAAATACGCACACATAACATAAAAACTTTAAATTTTGCGCTAAAAAACTCGTACAGCATAACTGTTTAGTTAATATTTAGAAGACAATTTATAGTCCAATTAAATCGAGTAGTAACGTTGGACTCTGTATACGCAGACATGTGCGCGCTTGAACTGTGTCTCCCGTGTCATGTTTAATAAATAGCGATCACACTGATTGTGTCTTATCAAACACAAATTTGTTTCTTATCAAATATTTTCGATTTAATGTAATTTGATATATTTATTACACTTGAAGTCTCTTTTGTCTATACGAGAAACGGTGTCATCGACCTCTATAGTGCTTTGCACCAAAGGTAAAGGGGTCTGGTCGAAAAGCAGACAGAGAGTTCACGCACCTTTGCTTTCACTTTTGCTCGCCGAATATAATCGTCCAAAATGATCAAAAGATGTTGAATGCCACGGAAAGCCGTTAAAAAAGAACCCAAAGACTTATAAAACTCGCTTTTAGCTTACACAGAGATAGAAAGAAAGGAAAAAAGCTACTTGTGTCTCGCTTGAGATAAATCGGTTAATAAAGATTATATTTTGTCAAAGAACATCCAAATAAAAACTATTTGAGAAAAGATCAATTTACCGTGTAGTGGCGTGCGTGGTTCCAAGCGCTACGACAGTACGGAAGCGCATAATCTCGTGAATTGTCGCCTTGGTAACTGGAAGGAAGTCAAAATCTTTTAGCGTTGGTCTGGATCTTCCTACGACACGATCCAATTCCTGTTGCACTCTTTCTGCTTCTCTCGGATGATGTAACATCAAAATTACTGCCCATTCCAAAGTGGTCTTCACCGTCTCCACACCAGCGGAGAAAAGATCGTTCATAATTTGTTTCATATGACGATCTGCACAAAACAAAAAAAAACAAATAGCGTTTAGTTAAGTATTTAGATGGAACTATTGCTAAACGATGGTGCTAAATAAAATTTAGTAACAGAAAATATCAAATTATGCTTACCGTGATCTTTTCCTTCAAAAAGCTGTTTATCCCGACCTTCTTGTTTAGACTGTTTGATTTCAAGCAAGTAAGCATCCACAAGATCACGAATATTGTTTTCATCAAATTGATTTCTATGTTCGTCTATTATCATTTGCATATGATTATCTAGTTCGTTACGATTGTTGGCAAGTTTTTTTGATATATCTTGCTTATCTTGCTTCTTAAACGAGAGATAGTGCTTCCACGAAGAATTTATTTTAGGAAAGAGTTTAAATCCTTCGTTGATAAGAGTCATGAATCTCTCAAATTTTTCGTTGTCAAGACTATAGCATTCGCTCATCATTAGGCCACAGATCACATTACTTATAGCCAGTGATAGAAGAGGGGAAATGTTTGTAGGCTTTCCATTTGTTTGAAGTAATGCCTTCACATATGTGTCAATCTCACGCTAAATAAAAAAAACATACACATGTATATATATGTACACACACATCTATACATCATAGTCGTTTATTTGACAAAAGTTTAGTTTTTTTAGGAATTTTTTACATAACTCAAAGATTTCTTTTAAAATTTAAAAAACTGTTATATTGTCGTATTAATATTTTTATTCTTGTGGCACATATTAATAAAAATTTACATATACTACATGTATATAAAAATTAAAACGTTTTTTATTAAATAAAAATTTGTATTATTTTCAAGCTTTTTTCACAAAACTCAAAGATTTATCATGTCAAAAATACTAATAAGTTGTACGCTAATCAGTCCAAATCCGATACTCACCCCAATCTTGTACTCCAATGTTCTCGATTGAAAATCGCCAAACTTCATGCCTAAGTATCTTAATTTCAATTGAAGGAATTTTCTCTGATTCTTCCACAAGTCACCGGTTGAGTTGATAATGCCTACAACAGTAACGAGGACGTTCCTGAATCGCGAGAACTCTCGTATGCGGCGCGTCATTCACGGTCTCGTTTCGCTTCCATAGTGTACCGCCAATCTGTCCGCGAACGTCTATTGCAACACTTCGAAGCACAAGTTAGCATTGACCGAGAAGCAGTCGTAGAAACGCGCAGTTATGAATGATCGCAAACACAACAGTTTGGAAAAAATTAATCATTCAATGAGTTTTCCCCCGAACATATATCATAACTACATCTCATAATCATTGTAAATATTTTATTGTGTCATTCAGAGTAAAGTAAGTTTGGAAAAATATTTCGGTTGTATCAGTGCAATTGAAAGATAACGGGCAGCAGCACGAAGAAATGCCCGATAAATCTGACGGAACGTGAAATCGAGCGAAACGCGCGAAGTGCTTTAACCCTCTGACGATATGAGAGCGTGCTGAGTCGAGAGATAACGCATAACGTATTATCGGAATTGCTACTCTCGATACTTACCGTGTCCGTCGAGGATGTCCATGAACTCGGAATGCGGTCTGCCGGTAAACTCCTCCCTATTGAACGCTTCGCGTATAAGTTTAGGACAACTCAGGACGATAGTGTCTTGATTATGATAGCCCTTAGAAATCTTGTATATTGGACCAAACTGTTTAGCCCACTTTGTATATTTCAAATATACGGGCAGATTTCTGTTCATAAACCTGCTACTAATTGTTGGACCAGGTGGCGATTTCTTTTTTTGTTTTAGCATTTCTCCCACTAAATGAACACCTAGCACTACAAGCACAAAAAACTTGATAATGTCTATTGAGATAATCTGCTGAGTCTTTTCGAAGATCGCGTGCCAACACGAATCATTATACAATCTGCCGACTTCTGCGAACATTTTGAATCGATTGATCGAAATTTAATGTTGCAATAAGAAGACTTTTGCGATGTATAAATGTCTGTAGTATCGCGATAAGCACTGACGTAATATTATTTTTGTCTTTTGATAAAAAAAAAAAAAAAAAAAAAAAAAAAAAAAAAAAAAAGAAAACACAATTGTCTGTCTTTCTGATCTTGTAGCTATCGTTGTCGGAACAGAAGCGAAGGTGGATAAAAAGTTCACTAGGAAGCAGAAGGTCCGTTGGAGTGCAGGTTGATAACAAATTCTAAATCAAATATAAAAGAAGATAAAATGGAAAAAGGAACGGAATAATAAAAACAAGATAGGAGGAAAAGAAGTTGAAAGGAGGATCGCAACTGTTGCCGAATTTACCGCCGCTCGCTATATCTGAACTGTACGACGGTAAGGACTGGTACGCTTTCTCTCGTTCTTGTGTCTTATATAGTTTAATCAAATCCCTACTACGAAGATTCTATATTGGAGAGGTGGGCAGAGAGGAGAACGTCGTAAGTAGGGAGGCATCACGATGGTTAACGCGGAAACGTCGTAGGTAGGGATAAAACGCATCAATCGCGTAAAGGTAGTGGATACTTCCGTTGGGGAACGTGAAGGCGGATCCTTCGTATTCATTGGCTAAAGACCACGAGGCCTCTCGCTCTAGAATCTTGGTGGGGAGAACATGGGTCCTCTCTGGCAGGGGTCCTATTACGGCCAGTGGGAGATGCCGGTATCAGATGCATTTGACGTGAAATACGTACAATCGCCTCTCTCCGTTTCGGAAGGTTTAGAAGAATATATCATAGCTACAATGTGTAAAAATTTTATTTACTTTTGTATCAAAGTATTACTAATTTCACAGATGGACTTGCTTTATTTATTTTTTATTTTAACTTTGTTGAATTTTCCGTTGAGCATACTTGTGCCGTTTACTCAAATATTAGAAAAAAAATAAAATAAAATAAGTAGACGCACAAAAACGCTTTTTGTAACAAAAATATTTTATATGATATTGTTTGACGTTATATGTATATATTTAATGTTACATGTTGTCTCATATTCTCTTTCTTTTTCTGCTTATATATATCAAAATTTAAAATGAGATTCTCAATACTTTAATAATATGACTCAAAAATAAAATAAATATCCTGTAATATCTTTACATATATCATTTAAATCTTGATGTAATGATGTATAATAAAACTTTAATAAAACTACAATAAAACTATTAAAACTGTAATGAAACGTTAAAGGAAAGATAATTGATAATTGATAAAGTGAGACAATGGTATATAACAAATAAATAACAGTCATTGTTACAAACATTATCGAGATTACAGTATTTTGTGTATGCGAATACACGCGCGAATATTTTTTTGTTGGAGCAGCTTATACAGATTACACTTTGCAATGAGTACGTACATATGTGCCTCTCGAAGAAATAACGGACTGCTTCATAATCAACGGTTGCTTGCATCATAATTTGCGAATTGTGCCGATCGATGACTTTGCACCGGCGCCGCTTCTCTTATCAAGTCCTCTGGGTCATTTGGTCAAACGTGTTGCTCACAGATTTTTCGACAGTCATAATTTCCGACGACCTTCGTACGTAGAAACGCAATTAATAATTTTAATCGCAAGTGCATTCACATTTCATATACCAGAATATTTGTAAACTTTATGAAGTTTTTAATCATGCGCCTAGATTCAAGTACAAGTGAGAGTATACATTTTTAAGTAATAAATGATTTTTTTGCAGTTTTTGTAAAAAAGTACGTAAATATTGTTAAATGTGTGTTTCATATAATGCCATTTAATATTTTGTCCATTAAAAATATAATGTATATGTTGGTATTTTCCACGATACATTTTCCTTGTTTATTGCATTTTATTTCGGAATCGAGTCGCTCATCATAACATATCTGCATATCAGGTCATTAACTTGCCGTCGTTTTCTGCAACACAAGCATTCAATGTTCACAGATTGAAGTTAGTTATTTTTATAGAAGAAGAGAAAATTTTTTGAAACGACAAGGTTAGACAATTTTGTTAAAAATACTAGGGAAACAAAACTATAAAAGGAGCAAGAATAAAGGAGTTTTTGACTATATATTTCTAAGTATGCTTGTTTGCATTCATGCTTGTACAAAGATTAAATATACATTAACCGATAATGAATACATTATAATAACGTGTGTTAACGCTTTTTAAAAAGTTTTATCTCAAAACGTGTTTTATGATATTTTTGTGTCATATAATTGCAATATTACACGCATTTTATTGCAAACGTATTGGTTTGAAATTAAGTGTTTGTAAAAGAAATCTGTTGTAATGGCTCAATATGTTATAAAATGGAAACTGTTACTATGTTTTTGAGTGAAAGCTCAATTTTCATGCTTCTCAAATATAAAACCGTCTGATCTGTTTGAACATGTTTATTCATTCGGTAAAATGCGGCTTGTTTAAATAATAACATAATGTAAATTAATATTCAAACTTTTATTGGAATAAAAATTTTAATAAAAAAAATATTCTTTTTCTCATTTTGAACAATAGGAAACGTATCAGTTGTTATTTACAGTATACATATAGCTACGTATTTACTTATGAAGACAGTGGTTTATGTTTTATTTTTCAGAAAAATATTTTAGAAATTGGAGTACGTAAATTGATTTATGATTTATATCTCATAATTGGATCACTTTATTTACTCAGACAAGATCGGTTTCATTACGCATTTGAATGAATGTAACGTGTTCGACTCAGTTTACTGCTCGTCACGAGCAAATGGCACTCGTTTAGGCTCGTCAAAACTTGAGTCGTTGTCTACGAATTTTCACTGAGTTAGCACTTTACATCGCTAAAGTGATGACAGCACAAATCTTATACAAATTGTAAAGACTACCTCACATTTCAATGCGCAACAGAATGATGATATATTTTTATATTTTTATTCAAAAAACATTTAACTAATAAGCTTAAGTTAAGTTACGTGCAGTAACGCATGTTTATTAAAGTTTATTTGATATAAATAATAAATAAATACAATACACTCTGCTTTTTCTAATTTTTCGCGCTTTGATAGTTTCTATCGAAGTTGCGCGCAATGCAACATAAACGTGAATGTATTTGAAATATATATTTTTACGCTTTTGTAAGATTGCACTTGTTCGTTTATTAATATGTATTTGTGTGCTTCTCGAAGATTGCACTCGTTCGGTCATTGATCCAGAACATGAAGAAGTAATAATTTTCTCTTCGTCATGCCCGATTCAGCGCAGGTCAATAAAAACGGATATCGATATCGCGAAGCACGCTCCTCGATTATCCTTATGGCTTCATCGCAACGAGAGATGAAGGACTCTCTTTACGTGTATCTTCAAATAACCTTTCTATACCTTCCTATATCTTCAGAATTATATCTTTAATACAGTACAAACGAGTTTACATTATCTTTCATATAATCACTCGATTGCGTTTTGAGTGCACAACGATTGAATCAATTCACGATTTATTTTTTATTTAATAAAAAATTTATTTTTATACTTTAGTGTCGATTAATATCGCGATGATTTATCTATTTTTTCGGAAAATATCATTCTTTCTTCTTGTTTAGATCTAAAAAGTATTATATACGTAGTATATATTTTAGATATATAAATTTGCATTTTATTTTGTTTACAAGTTTATATGATATATGTTTTTTCTCTCGTTTCTCTCTCTTTCTCTTTCTCTTCCTCTTGCGCATAAAAGATGCAATATCTATTTTAAAAAAATGGTTTTTATCGATATTGAGTTATGGTGTTTTTTATACAAATAAAAGTTATGATATAAAACCTAGAAAAGCAAAGCCAAAGAAATAATAATAAAGAAAACAATAAAAACGATTGACCTGTTGTAAACAGTATGACTGATTACGATCGCATAAATGGAGCAAAAAGAGGTGGAGACGAAAATCAGTCGTACTCTACTTTGCCATAAAAAAAAAAAAAAATGAAGAGGCACAGCGCACATCAGTACCCTTAATGTGATCGCTCGGTAAGAGGTGAACGACCGCGAAACAGACTTCTCCGGAGAAAATTTTCATATCCCCTTCTCCTCTGGGATCTTCCCCTTCTATTTTGCCACGCCAAACATGAACTCACTTGCGAATGCTAGAACGACATCCTGGAAAATTAGAAATGCATCATGGTAGCACGTGTGCGAGAAAATGGAAGGGATGAAAGAACAAGAAAGAGAGGAGAACGACGGAAATGATTGAGAATCGACATACGAAGAGAAGGAAGTGAACTCAGGTAAGCTGAAGAGAGGATAAGATATGCAACACGACGACGATGAGAACGAAAGAGAGGGATAGACGAAGAAACGCGGTCTACGCTCTGTCTGTGATCGACGTCAGGGTGAACGACCGTCCTCTGTGTAGAGGACGTGTATATGCCGGACCAGTGTGTGATCCGACCGGCGAGCACTGCACGTTGCGGCGCGCTATGAAGAGTTGTTTACGATCATGTCTTAAGCGCGATTCGCCGCGGCATGCCAAATCGCGGGCAGCCTGCTGATGAAGTATGCAATCGAGGATTTCGCGCGATGGAAATCGGGGAGAGTTTAGTGACGCAGCGCAAACTGCGCACTTAGTTTCTTCTTCGGAATTCTTGTAAAAAAAGCAAAAGAAGACGATTCTATTAAAAAATCTTATTAGTAGTATAATTAGTCAAAAATCATTTTGATTTTAGACTTTTGTTTAAACTAAGTAAGTAAGAAAAAACAAGAAAATGTCAGGTTAAATGCAGATTTTATAACCGTGAATCTTCATAATGGATCATTGCTTCTCACGAAGCAGACGGTTATTTAAATTAAAACAATTGTCAAACATTATATAATTACGAGTTACAACTGATCAAAAGTTCATAAAAGTCGCGTGTAACAAATAATTGTCAGTAATTACAATTCAAAATGAGGCTCGGGAATTCAATATATCAAACAGGAAGATATTTGTCACCGATTTTAATTGTCTCATAACTGATTACGCACGCAGGATAAGGGAGTTGTACGAAATCAGTAGGTTAATCACCTCCTTCGAAGAGCAGGATGTATTTCTAGTCATGCTAATGAATACTAATCCGCCAACAAGAAAATTTACATAGTACCGTCGTGCGTGCAACACACAATGGCATTCTATCGCACGCCTTTACTATTGCAAACGCCGCACATTAGATGCGTGCAGCAGATCTATAATTCTTTGCACGTATCAATAAGCGCATTCAACATTCTTCTTCCTTAACAAATTCGCGTTGATTGATTAAACCAGTGCTCTATGTAATAGAATGATACACCGAGCACACGTACTTTTTTAGTGCTTGGTTACGTGCTTGTACATATGAATGGAGGTCGTTGATCT